ATGCATATATATTTATATATATGCATATGTATGTATATATATGCATATATATGTATATATATATGCATATATATGTATATATATGCATATATTATATATATGCATATATATGTATATATATGCATATATATGTATATATATGCATATATATGTATATATATGCATATATATGTATATATATGCATATATATGTATATATATGTATATATATGTATATATCACGCTCAAAATGCAATTTAGAGGCGTCGCCCCAAAAAGATGACGCATGTACCTACTCCCGCTATTTTTAAAGGGAAGGCAAGATCTCAAACTATGCCCAATCGTTTCTGCTCTATCATAGCCTTCCATAGCACCCTCGATCATCTCCCTAACCCATTCCGTTGTTTAGGGATGTTTAAGGGGGTCTATAAGGGGTCTATAAGGGGTATACAAGTACTCAAACCATATCCATTCTCTTTTATTCTCTGATAGCTTTCCATAGCACCCTAGATCACCTCTGTAACCCTAGCCGTTGTTTAGGGGTGTATTTAAGGGGTCTGTAAGGGGTCTATATTTAGGCGGTTTTCGCATCCTGACCTAATAGGGACCCGTTACTGGAACGCCAGATAGCCTAAGCCATACAGGACCTTGAGACCTTTCTAACGTGCCCAAGAACTCCCCCCAACTCCTTGTGGTTGCTGAGAAAAAGTGAACTTAAGTAGGTCTCTGGTTATAGTTTATGGTTTTACGGTATGAAGGTTGTTAACATATAGTCCTGTGGCCGGCACCCTTGTTTTCGGTTCAGTTGGATGGGGATTGATTGTTTGGGTTTTCTCGGGGCGGGGGTCCTGGCTAGGGCCCGAATTTGCACACACACACACACACACACACACACACACACACACACACACACACACACACACACACACACACACACACACACATTCACACACACATTCACACACACACATTCACACACACACACACACACACACACACACACACACACACACACACCACACACATATATATATATAATATATATACATGTACACACATACATATACACACATACATACACACATACATACACACATACACACACATACATACACACACATACACACACACACACACACACACACACACACACACACACACACACACACACACACCACACACACACACACACACACACACACACACACATACTGACAGATACAGACAGACAGACAGACAGACATTCATGCATACATTTATACATGCATACATACATACATACATGCATTCATACATATATACATACATACATACATGCACACATACACATACACAAATACATACATATATATATATATATATATATATATATATATATATATATATATATATACACACACACACACACACACACACACACACACACACACACACACACACACACACACACACACACACACACACACACACACACACACACATACGTGTGCGTGTGTGTGTGTTTGTATATGTATGTGCATATGTATGTGTATGTGTATGTGTATGTGTATGTGTATGTGTATGTGTATGTGTATGTATATGTATATGTATATGTATATGTATATGTATATGTATATGTATATGTATATGTATATGTATATGTATATATATATATATATATATGTATGTATGTATATGTATATGTATACATATATATAGGTTTGTATGTATGTATTTATATAGGTATCATTCACATGCGCCCGCACTCAAAAGCAAATCACAAATAGTCATTATGACAGTTTCCTGTCAGATAAAAAGGCTTTACCGTTATTTTCCAAATTTTATTGCACAAATGCTGTGCATTATCATAGGAATTACACAATTTTATGTTGTTAGTATGTCGTTTAGTCAGTTTTATAGCATATCATTGTGTCTGTATATGCTAAGACATGACAACGTGTTGATTGATTATTGATCGTAAATTATTAATAAATATCATAGATAATTGAATAGACCGGTAATGAGTTGGATAATTAACCAGCCACAGTGACGAAAAGAATGATTATAAGTCGCTGTTCAAGAGGCGTATTTGCAACAGAATACTTTCGGCGATAGAAGCAAATAGAACGTAGGCAAAAGAGAAGGCAGACATGCACAAAAAATAAGAGGTTGAAAGATAGAATACGTATATTAGGAAAAGAATAAAAGTCATACATTTTGACCGCTGAAAAGCAAAATGAAAAATTATAGATGACATGAAATAATTGTCAAATATTTACGAAGGAAATGAGGGTCGAAATTGAAGTTTAATGATGATGAGACAGCATTTTTTGTAGGTCAATATTTCCTTTTTGGTTTATACTGATTTTTTCAGTCATATCCGTTTGGTTTTCTTTTTTACTACTTGTTTTTGTTCTATTTAGTTAATTTTCTTTCATTCATTGTTATTGCAGCTTTATATTTATATTTTATTTTCCTCTCCTTTCTATTCCTTCCCTTCCCTCCCTCTCTTTCTTCTTATTTCCTCCTCTTTCCTTTCCCC